TATAACTTTCACTGGCTTGAAACTTTAAATAGTAACACCTTTCAGTCTGTAGAAATTAAACTTCTGTGTGATCAAGAGATATGCGAAATGACTTCAACACAAGACTGTTATTATCATGTAACCAACTGACAAGTCGTAATAAACTGAGTCAGCAATGACAGTTTCCTCTAGACATTGGTTAGGCATGAAATCGTTTTTTGTTTTGCAAAGATAAAAAGATGGCTAGTGAAAGTATCTTTTTTCCTTTTATGGCAAGAAAAAAGTGGACAAGTATTTGATATACCTTGGTGGACCTGCATGGGACAGATACCAGTTGCACTGAAGAAAGTTCATGGTGCTTTTCATCCACTTTGCTGCTGCTCTGTCTCCTGGAATCGCATAATGTTGGATGGCTCATGTCATCTGAAACTGCCCCTGTTTGAAACCACTGTTAATCCAGAACTGCTGGAGTTTGGCATGCTGTGGCTACTGCTGTTTTCAAATGTATTCAAAATCTCTAATCAAATTCTAACTGAAGGGTCTGAAGGTCTGTTCTTGAACCTCATATTAGATGTAGAAGCTGGTTTAAATTTGCTTAGAAATAAATTGAAATTCAAACTTTACAGATGAACCTCACTTCAGTGTTGAGCTTGGAACAAACCAGACCCTTTTTCAAATGTCACTGTCAGTAGATTTTTGTTCAGCTGTCCTAACAACCATGATATTGTTTCTTTACATCTTTTGCATACACTAGGTCATTCAATCCTGTCACCAAGCTAAACGGCTGCTGCAAGTTGCCTTTCAGCTGATGTGGCATTTGACAAACAACTTGTGACCTAGAGAAGTCTTTATGGTAATGCTGATATAGTATCCACTGGTGATGCATTTTTTGTCTGAGGAGTTTCCAAGAGTAAAGTTCTGTTGTTCAGTGTTTACTAAAACTCCCCAAAAGAAGCAAGCCAGGTACAAAAGCAGTGAAACTTCTCCTACACTGAAAGTTTCACTGTTGCCTCTGTGATAAACTTAATTAATGCCTAGTAGAGGCCACCTGTTTACAGTCCAGGATTGAATGAAGCTTGATGACACCCAAGGCTTTTACAGGATTATATTATGTGAAAACTTTTTCATTGTGTGTTGTAAATCACAAATTAAATTATCCCTCTTGCAGATCAGTTGTGTTTGTTTCTTCTGTAGTAAAAGCTCTGTATATGCCTGCTGGTTACATATATTTTGCCACAGCTTATGATCCACATGGTCAGTTAGGACTGAAGTTTCTGCTTCATGGAAAGCTAGAAACCAGTTTATTTTAAAGAGAGAAAGAGAAAAGGAGGCTTGCTTTCTGTATCCAGACTGTTCTAGGAATACCTGGAGTGGTAAATTTGATCCTTATTGTCAGCAAATACGTGCTTGGAAAATTAGGTCCTGTGGTTTTTGTTTTTGTTTTTGTTTTTGTTTTTGTTTTTGTTTTTGTTTTTGTTTTTGTTTTTGTTTTTGTTTTTGTTTTTGTTTTTGTTTTTGTTTTTGTTTTTGTTTTTGTTTTTGTTTTTGTTTTTGTTTTTGTTTTTGTTTTTGTTTTTGTTTTTGTTTTTGTTTTTGTTTTTGTTTTTGTTTTTGTTTTTGTTTTTGTTTTTGTTTTTGTTTTTGTTTTTGTTTTTGTTTTTGTTTTTGTTTTTGTTTTTGTTTTTGTTTTTGTTTTTGTTTTTGTTTTTGTTTTTGTTTTTGTTTTTGTTTTTGTTTTTGTTTTTGTTTTTGTTTTTGTTTTTGTTTTTGTTTTTGTTTTTGTTTTTGTTTTTGTTTTTCTTTTTCTTCTTTTGAAGCAGGAATGGCTTCCAGCTCTCCACACCAGAAGGCAGTGTGCATTTACTGTTGCTCCTGTAGCTCTGAATTCTGCGCTGGATTGCTCCACTGTGAGTGGAGCCATACTGCATAAAGCACAGGGGGTGCCTCTGCTACCTCCTGTAGCCATAGCATTAGGCAGAGACTACCTTTTTCTCCCGGTAGTGGTAGGCCATGTCTGTAATAAAACTGGGCTAAATTACACTCCTGGCATATGCTTTCCATATTCCCTTACATTTCCTAGGAAAAAAATTACCCCAAGATGTCTGAAGCATGAGAAAGAAATTCTGTGTTTTATAAAACTTCATAGACTAGTCAACATCTTTTTTTTTGCCCCCAGTTAGTAATTTCATACGCTATCTAAGCTATCCAAACAAACCTCTGTGGAGTCAAGATACCTCCTTCCCTGTACCCTCTCAGTCCTAGTTGTGCTAGATGTTATGCAAATCCATTAAAGAAAGTATCCTATTCTGCAAGATTACATCTTAAGTGACAAGAGAAAGGACAGAAAGAAGGAATTACTCTTATTCCAACTACACATAGAGGGAACTGAGCAACAGCCATTAAGTGACTTACCTGTGGTAACTGTGACCAAAAAATCAGAGCTTTACCTGTTACTATCCATATAGCACAGCACATTGTATTAGTGTTTTTGCCTTTTCTTAGACCAAGTCACTCATACTAGTTTTGCATTAATGCCTATGTATCACTGCTATGCTTAAAAGAACTAATTGGAAACTGTGTCCTGCTGGCTTCCAGAGTACAAGCGCAGAAAAGAAAAGGTCCCTGTCACAGTGAGTTTGCAATCAAGCCCCCCACTAAGCCTGAGGAATAACAATATTTTCTGGTGCTATCTAGAGTTCATTCTCGTGCCACTCAGAGTTCATTGAAAGCCTCAATTTTAATTCCAGTCAAAGATCCCTGGAAAGACAGCTTTATTCACTAAATTCACAGATCAATGCAGCAAGATTTGCATATAGGCAAGTATATAAATCCTGCTTTGCAGTATATTTTCCCTCTCTTGCGCTGTGAATTTTTAAAGAGTCTTGTGTCAGGAAGAGGCAATAGTCTGACAGCACTAGAAAATTAACTCCTTTGTTTATCTGAAGAACAGGTATAGTCCATGAAGGAGCAGTATCAGCTTTCTCTGACTGTGTCCACCCACCTGGCAGCAAGCATTTCAGGAAAAGAGAAGACAACTCAGCCTGTATGTTTGTTCGGTCTTTGGCTGTCTTTCCAGGTGTGCAGTGTTGCCAAACCTGGGTCCAAACACCAGGATGCAGCCCTTCTCCTACTGTTCTCCCACCCTTTTTAAAAAATAATAAGGGGAATATGCTTACAATAATCTTCTGGTTTCCATGTTTTTGAAGTATATTTTAATCACATTTTCAACCTTTCTGCAGCAATGAAAATGAAAACTTTTTTTTTAAATATGGAAATTTAAAATGCTCTCCTAATTGCAACCTTAAAGGAAATAGGACTTTATGAATAGCATCAAATACACAAGAGAAATCTGTGAAGACTCTAACATTGTGGGTGCCACTTCTGATTCAGCACTTTTTCTCCTGAAGTTGACCTGAGAACAAATGTCTATTTTGCATAGTTCATTGAAAAAACTGAAATAATTTTTGGTCTCCACAACTAGCATTGAATTTGAACTAGGAGCCACAGGGTCAGCACTGCACCATCCCACTGCCAGTTCCATAAATGAGATATCTGCTGCTGTTTCCTCTATCCCTGAAGGCATATTTTCCTAAAGGACTTAAAGTCTCTCCATTCTGATTTCCCTAATCTTGTATTCTGTTGCAGCTCACAAAGCCATCACTGTGTCCCTTCTGAAGACCAGCAAAATCAGTTGTCTTGGTCAAAAATAAAAGCAGTTGCTTTCTCGGTGTAGCCTGGTCTGAAAAGGAGTCTGGTTAATTAACATTGATTACAATCCACCAGCTGCAAGTAAAAATTGATCGCCAAGGTTCCTAATTTGAATGCCTCTCTGCCCTGACTTCACTGTTTCTGTGGCTGTCCAATGAGAGAGACAGGGACAGAGAGCGAATCCACTTCTTAAAGTCCCAGTTATTTGTAGGCTCCCCTGTGAAAGACATCAGTGATCCTTCTGGTCCCGCCTTATCACCCCGTGGGATGGCCATTTGTTAGCACAGCATCTAATTGCTGCAGATTGTCAGTGTGCACATTTGGACCCTGTTCAACGCTCCATTTTTTATTGAGAGAGGAGCAATGGTATTGATTTTGGATAACCAGGGAGAATGCCAGGAATATTAGTAAGGAGCTCAGAGAACACAACACATAAACTTTTATGACATGATGTCAAACTGGATTGCGCAGGCATAAATGAAAAGGACAACATCTTCTGTAATTACTGCAAACATATACCATACATCTATTAGAAAAAGGGTACATTTCAATGAAAAAGAGACCTTGCAAAAAACGACATCTCAGAAAATTTGTCTGGCCAAAAGGGAAAAGGGGAAAGATTTTTAAGTGTACCTCTGGAAATGACAATGCATGAGCCAGGAGCTGTATTTCTGCGGCTGTTTCACTGTGACTGAAACCTACATTTGTGTGGACTCGTGACCCACTTCCAACCTCCTCTGAGTTTGGATTTGTGTAACCCCACGCAAAGCACCGGCACTCTTCCAGTGAAGCTGATGCCAGGGTGGGGTACAGCACAGCCGCTGCCCAACTCTTCTGAGCGAGCTTTGTCCTGGTCCTCCACACCAAAGGCAACTTCACCCCCATAAGGGTGAAACTGCACACCCCTCAAAAAGGATCAAGTAACCACCTGACCTACCGTAGCGTACAGAGTTACCATTATGCTGAAGTTTAAACTAAATAGCAATTTAACCAGCTAAGCCAATGCTTTCAGTGACCTTCAAGCACTTAATTCACAACCACAGGTGAGCTGGTGTATGTTAGACCATGGCTTAACCCACTTCTATCTGAGTCCCGGCTTTTCTGGAAAGTGGTTACACAACAGGCCAACTCCTCGAGCCAAGGAGAAGCTCCATCCTTTATTGGATGCAGGGGGGAACATTGCCTTCTTTGCCTCAGTCTTTAACAGGCAGACCTGTTATCCTCAGGGTGCTCGGCCCCCCGAGCTGGAAGACGGGGACGGCGAGCAGGATGAAGCCCCCATAATCCAAGAGGAAGCAGTTAATGACCTGCTACGCCACCTGGACACTCACAAGTCTGTGGGGCCGGATGGGACCCACCCGAGAGTGCTGAGGGAGCTGGCGGAGGTGCTCGCCAAGCCGCTCTCCATCATTTATCAGCAGTCCTGGTTAACGGGGGAGGTCCCGGACGACTGGAGGCTTGCCAATGTGACGCCCATCTACAGGAAGGGCCGGAAGGAGGATCCGGGGAACTACAGGCCTGTCAGCCTGACCTCGGTGCCGGGGAAGATTATGGAGTGGTTCATCTTGAGGACGCTCACAAGGCATGAGCGGGACAACCAGGGGATCCGGCCTAGCCAGCACGGATTCATGAAAGGCAGGTCCTGCTTGACCAACCTGATCTCCTTCTATGACCAGGTGACCCGTCTAGTGGATGAGGGAAAGGCTGTGGATGTGGTCTACCTGGACTTCAGTAAGGCCTTTGACACCGTCTCCCACAGCATTCTCCTAGAGAAGCTGGCGGCTCACGGCTTAGACAGGTGGACTCTGCGCTGGGTCAAAAACTGGCTGGACGGCCGGGCCCAGAGAGTTGTGGTGAATGGAGTTCAATCCAGTTGGCGGCCGGTCACGAGCGGTGTTCCCCAGGGCTCTGTTTTGGGGCCGGTCTTGTTCAACATCTTTATCAATGATCTGGATGAGGGGATCGAGTGCTCCCTCAGCAAGTTTGCAGACGACACCAAGTTGGGCAGGAGTGTTGATCTGCTCGAGGGTAGGAAGGCTCTGCAGAGGGACCTGGACAGGCTGGATCGATGGGCCCAGGCCAACTGTATGAGGTTCAACAAGGACAAGTGCCGGGTCCTGCACTTTGGCCACAACAACCCCATGCAGCGCTACAGGCTTGGGGAAGAGTGGCTGGAAAGCTGCCCGGCAGAGAAGGACCTGGGGGTGTTGGTCGACAGCCGGCTGAACATGAGCCGGCAGTGTGCCCAGGCGGCCAAGAAGGCCAATGGCATCCTGGCCTCTATCAGAAATAGTGTGGCCAGCAGGAGTAGGGAAGTGATCGTGCCCCTGTACTCGGCACTGGTGAGGCCGCACCTTGAATACTGCGTTCAGTTTTGGGCCCCTCACTACAAGAAGGACGTTGAGGTGCTGGAGCGTGTCCAGAGAAGGGCAACGAGGCTGGTGAGGGGTCTGGAGAACAAGTCTTATGAGGCGCGGCTGAGGGAACTGGGACTGTTCAGCCTGGAGAAAAGGAGGCTGAGGGGAGACCTCATCGCTCTCTACAACTACCTGAAAGGAGGTTGTAGCGAGGTGGGTGTCGGTCTCTTCTCCCAAGTAACTACCGATAGGACGAGAGGGAATGGCCTCAAGTTGCACCAGGGGAGGTTTAGATTGGATGTAAGGAAAAATTTCTTTACTGAAAGAGTGGTGGAACATTGGAACAGGCTGGCCAGGGGAGGGGGTGAGTCCCCATCCCTGGAGGTATTTAAAAGACGTGTAGATGAGGCACTTAGGGACATGGTTTAGTGGGCATGGTGGTGTTGGGTTGACGGGTGGACTCGATGATCTTAGAGGTCTTTTCCAACCTCAATGATTCTATGATTCTATTCTATGAACAGTTTGCTGTAAATAATTTGTGCCAATCAATGTTAGAGCCATTAATTCAGAAGTTTTGTCTCCTTGTGTCTGCTGCCACCCCTGATTTCTTACTATCTCTGCATGGTGCATTATAAAAGTCAGTGTGAGTAGCTGTGTTTTAGCTCACTCAGAATTCCACCCATGAAATCTCGATAGGCCAAATTTAAGAAAACCAAGCATGCTATGAGCACAAACTGAAACACAAGTGGGTCTGTGTGAACATCAGAAAACACCTTTTCACTGTGAGGGTGACTGAGCACTGGCACAGGTTGCCCAGGGAAGTTGTGGATTCTCCATCCCTGGAGATATTCAAAAGCCATCTGGACATGGTCCTGGGCAACCTGCTCTAGCTGGCCTTGCTAGAGCAGGTTGGTTGGACCAGATGACCTCCAGAGGCCCGTTCCAACCTCAGCCACCCTGAGAGATGCAATTCTATGAGGTAATACAAAGAGCATAAATAACTTTGCAGCTATTGTGTAATTCTGTTTCTACTTATGAGTTTATTTATTTATTTTTTTGTTTATGAATTTATTTGAATTCTTAGAGTCCTGAATTCGCCCAGTGAAAATTTTAAAGGTTTGCATGGCTACTTGATGTCATTTTTGCATGGGATCATTTGCTTCAGGCAATAGTGAAAGGTGCAGGAGTTCCCAGAGGAATCCCTCCACTGATTGACCAGAACTTCTCCCATCTTTGAAATACAGCTTTAAACTGAGAACAGCAGTAGATGAATGGTGAAGACTGAAATGATGTCAACAATTTGTGTGGAGGCCAAAGAAAATACAAAGGGGCCCTCAATGGCTTCGTCTCTGAATTTGTTGCAATGCAGCTGTGAGTAATAAGTTTGCTTTCTTTTCAGGCACAGTACACTACATCTGAAATAGTTTCTGAACTTAGCACACAGTTTCCTGACCATCTATTATTTTCCTTGGGGATCAGGAGCCTTTCAAGCATTGCAGTGAAGAGTTTGATCTGAGAATATCGTGCAGCAGGGAGATGGGTGGTGGTCTGCTGGCCTGATCTCACAGATTGCAGAGCTTGGGGAAAGTCACTATTTAGACATATTAATATCGTTTTATTGCTGGCCCTATCATTTATTTTGACTCATCTGAACAGTGGCCAATTTTGTACTATTTTAAGCATGTGTGCAGAGAAGTTATGCAAATACTTAAGTTTTCTGTATGGGTGGGTTTAGATAAAACTCAGTGGGAATAAGGAGCTAGATTAAATCTCTCTCCTTCTTCTACAATCTGCAGCAGGTCTGCATTCATAGCAGTGGCTGTCATTTTTAGGAGGTGAACATGGCCAGCAGAAAGGTGTCCCTTCATACATATATGCATACGAACCTCATGAAGTTCAACAAGGCCAAGTGCAAGGTCCTGCACATGGGCTGGGGCAATCCCAAGCACAAATACAGGCTGGGCAGAGAATGGATTGAGAGCAGCCCTGAGGAGAAGGACTTGGGGG